GTATGCTTTGCTGGGAGTGTTTGGCGAAGATGTTATACATTTGTAAATGATGTTTGTCGCTCTACAATTTTTATTCAGCGGGCAGATTTCTTTTTGTTTGCAATTGCAAGGGAGATTTTCAGAGGGGTTAATTAAATTTATTTTTTTGTTGTGGCTTTTTATAATTTTTGAAATGTTGTTTGAGAAGCTGTAGCTAACTTTTGTAGTGTTTCGATCGAATAGTTTATGTAATGGATTTGAAGGTGAAAAATGTTTATCTATTAATTGTAAAAAGATTTGGCCAACATTGGTAGAGACGCTTTTATTGTAGGGTGGGTTTAAACCAAATTATATTTCTTTTTCTTTTGGGAGGTGTCTTATTTTTTGGGTTGTACTTTAAGATAAAGTTTTTAAAACCGTTTTGTTTAAGTGCTTCTTCGTATTCTGTTTTTGAAGCGTTAAATATTTTTTTATTGGAAGAATTTTGCGATAATCATAATTAATGGAGAGAGGGATCTGCTTAAGAACTTGGGGTGGATGGTTTGATTCAATGTGGATGTAAAGCAGTTGGTCATTTTGTTATTTAAAAGGTTGGTAGGAGTTTTTTGAAGATTAAAAGTTGCGTCAAGAAAATTAACACTGTTTAAATTGGTTTGAATCTCTATTTGAAATCCGATCTTTTTGAATATCTCAATTATATTTTTTCTGACTTTGTCTAATTGAATGGTAGTTTTTTTCCGCATCACCATCAATCCGTCGTCTCGGTAAAGACCTATATCATTTTTAGTAATGGTTTTGGATAAAGAATCTAGAATGTATAAACCCACCAGTTCGCATACTTCGGCTCCATCAAAACAACCCATTGTGACGTCAAAACAATCATTATACGTCTTTTTTATCCATGTTTCTTATTTAAAAAATAATAGCGATTTTCTGCAATGATTTATGACTCAAATTTTTTCACTGCTGTTTTTAGTGTGCTGTTTTGCAAATATTAAAGCGCTGTTCAGTATGTCTTTTGTAATGGATGGGTAAAATTCATTGATGTCGAGTTGTATAAATACACAGTGTTGCTTGTCGCTTATGTTTGTAAACTATTTGATTACTTCAGCGATGTTTTTCCATTGGTTTAGTTTTAATTTATTTTTGAAGTCCTTGTTGATTTTATCTAGGTATATAGGTATATAGGTATATATATATATATATATATATATATATATATATATATATATATATATATATATATATATGTATATATATATGTATATATATATGTATATATATATATATATATATATATATATATATATACATATATATATATATATACATATATTTTTTTTATCTAGGCATATATATATATATATATAAATATATATATATATATATATATATATACATATATATATATATATATATATATATATATATATATATATATATATATATATATATATATATATATATATATATATATATATATATATATATATATATATATATATATATATATATATATATATATATATTATCTAGGTATATATATATATATATATATATATATATATATAAGGCTTTATTTGTCAAAAAAAAGGAATCACCTCTGTTATTATTTATATGTAAAAAATGAAGCAGAAGTTAGCAATTTATAGCTGTTGGTGTTCTTATACCCATTAAGGCGGGAACAAGTAAAACTGTTTTCCATTGTAAGAAGCTTTTTTTTTCCAAATAATGACAGATGTTTTTTTTAAGGTGGGGAAAGGAGTTTAGTAGATGAATGGAATTAAGTAGAATAGAGATGAGTTAAGAAGGTTCATTGCATTTTATATAAGATACAAACTATACAAACCTATAAACTTCTACGACAAACCCCAAAGTTTTTTTCAGTTCTCTTTAGACAAGTCATCTTTTCTTTTTTCCTAGCTCTTAAAGTCTAGAGCTGAATGTCTTCTAGTGAACAACCACGAATCGACGTAATTTAAAAGATCAAAGCTTGTTTGCAATAGTACTACTAATATGAAATATAACATTGAAGCTGTTTTGGTCATTAATAAAGCCCTGATTCTTTTATGATCAGATTCTCCTACTAAAATCCTCGTTCTCATTCACTTAAGAAAACAGCGAGCTTTTACCAAATGAATTAAATTTTCAGAATATGATTTTATTAGAAAACTTATTTACGCAATCTATGAATCATTTTTCTTTCATTTAATTATATTTTTATTGACAGGTTTCTTCAGTTCCTCCAATTTTCCGCTAAGTTTTAATTTTTTTAAATAATTAAGTATATTATATATACGGGCAAAAAAAATGTTTAAATATATGATAAAAAACCTTTAGAAAAAAAACGAAAATCATTTTGTGTAATATACTTTAACGAAATGAAATTTTTCTTTATCATGCTGTTTGCTGCATAAAGTCTGACAAAGCTGTTTTATTTCCACGGAGCGAATGATTTCGCACGAAGCGAACATTTTCGCCACTAATTTTTCGCCGAGTCAGAGTTTTAATTTCCACCTAACTTTAGCATAACTTTTAGCGCGCTTTTTAGAAAACATGCCGATTAAAAAAAGATTGTTGTTAGTTCAAATAAAACTATTTATTTTAAAAATGTTGCAAATAAAAAGAAAAAAAGAAAAAAAAGAAAAAACGATTTTGGGTAAGGAAAATTTATACCGAACGCCTTCAGAAAGGAGAGTTTCACTTATTAGTCCAGGATTTACATTTACACAACCAGGTATACTTTTTTAAGTATTTTCGAATATCTCCTACGATTTACGAAGAGCTGCTTTCGTTTGTAGCGCCTATCATTGTGAAACGCATCTACTATCAGTAGGATTATTAGTGAAACATGTCCTGCTATCTGGATGTTTCTACGCGTCCCATTAGAAAAACAAAAATGGAAAACAATTGCGAAAGAATTTCAAAACATGTGGAATTTTCCGCATGCTATAGGTGCAATAGATGGCAAGCACATTATGCAAGCTCCTTAAACAGCAGATCAGAGTATTTAACTATAAAAAAACGCTTAGCATAGTTCTTTAAGCTGTTTGCTAAATACGAATTTACTATGGTACTCTTCTAGCTGTTTGCTAAATACGAATGCTAAATACGAATTTACTCTGGTAGACATTAGTGACTCGGGAAGACTAAGTGCTGGTAGCGTTTTTTAACCAAGACTGCAACAATTACAGTCTTGGTTATGCAGTTATAATAATAAATTGAATATTCCTGATCCTAAATATATTGGTAATTCAGAAAAAATATTACCGTACGTTTTAGTTGCCGACGATGCTTTTGGTTTAAGAAGACACATGATGAAACCATACCTAATCAAACCATTCCTTTAGACCAAAAAATATTCAATTACAAACTTTCAAAAGCCAGAAGGGTTATAGAAAATACATTTTGTATTGCTACAATACGCTTTCAAATATTTTGCAGACCAATTGTTGCTAATCTCGAAAAAGTCATTTTAATTACACGAGCTATTGTAACCCCCTACATAACTTTCTTATAAAAAAAAGATCAGCAAACAATTATCTCTCAACTGTCCTACAAATTACACCAATGTTGACGGTCCTGCTCGTTATAGACCAGGTTATTGGAGACAAAATAACTCATGTTCTGCTGCACTACAACCACTGTCACATTCACGTTCTAACAACTACTCAAAAGATGCAAAGCAAGTTCGAGATGACTCTAAAGAATACGTTAAAACACCAGAAGGAGAACTGGAATGGCAACTAGACCTAGCAAATAGAAACTTGTAAAGGTGAACGTATAAGTCACTATATTAAATCTTATAGTTTAGGGTAAACGCTTACAGCTATTACTCAAAACATTAAGGCACTTTTTAACCTTGTATTTCTTTAAAGATAAAGTAAATTATGTTAACAATTAATATGGTAAAGTTGTAAGACTTTTACCAGGTAGCAAATATACTTTTAATAATACAATAATAATTTTATTACAACATTAACTTAAAATCTTGAACTTCAAAATAATAGTTTTTTTGTTGATCTAAAAATTGCTTTTTATATTTATATAGTTCATAGAAAAATAAAATAAAAAGCTTTTAAACTTAATAAATAATTACACCAATGCCAAAAAACTTGATAATTGAAAAAAAGTCAAAAGTAAGAAGTACATTAAAGATCAAAAGTGAAAATAAAAACACATCGATAAAACAAATAAAATATTCAATCGGTGAAATATAATGATGACGACAATGTATTATTAAATGCAATACTGAAAAAAAATACACTAAGAAAAATCTTTATAGCTCATTAAGTTCAATGAAAATCGCCATCCTAAAGAACTAAAGATCTCTTCTACTGTTTAAAAAATAAATTTAGCTTTGCAAATTGGGCGATTCCTTAGCGTTCTATAGTCTATAATTTTAAACGCTCTAAGATCTTTTTAGTTATGTTTTTTGTTTTTTAAATAATATTGTTATTATAAAATAATAACAAACTGCAATACTGTTACAAAACGTTTGCTATGAATATTGCAATAAATGCAGCAAAAATAAAAATTTTTCAAAATTTTTTAAGGGATGTCTTAAATCCCCCAAAATGACATTTGTGACAGCGCACTAAACCACTGAGCTATCAATAATATGCGTTTTGGAGAAAAACAAACCTAATTTTGTTTTATAACACTTTGAAAGAATAAAATAGCATGTTTTACATACTCAAAATATATTGTACAAGAATTCTGAACATTCGAACATTTCTTCTAAAGATTTGAATTACAAAAAATGTAAACTTTAAAATGGTTAATAATGTATTTGAAAATTATCATGTCTAGCATGGTACAACTAGGATTGCAATAAATTTTAAACTACGTACCTTTTTGTATGTAAGTGATAGGAGTTGAGTGATGCAATGACATTTGCTTCCAACTTTTATACTCGTATCGCATAATGTTTTTATAAAAATAGTTTTTTCAAGAATTTGTTTAAGTATAAATAGTATTTTTTAAATATAAATAGTATTTTTATTTTATTTTAAAGTGATTGGAATACTTTGTTGGCCTTTGTTTTGTTTTGTTTTTACTATTTTTTATTTGGTGACATTTTACTTATCAATAAAGATGAATGATTTAAAATTAGTTATAACAAATATCATAACAAATATTTAAAATTTTTAATAAAGTTTTTACTTTCTTTTAGGTATGGTTAATGTACATAATGAAGATATGTCCTTTATAGATTCTTTTAAATCGGTTATTCAATCGGTGAAATATAATGATGACGACAATGTATTATTAAATGCAATACGTGATGAAGGAATGCATGGATTGCATAAACTCAGTAATAACATTCCATCTCAAATATTTATAAAATTAAAGTCATCATTGGAGGTTCTATTAGATAATCATAATATGTCGAAATATAAAGAGGAATCAAATATGAATAAGGTTAGTTTTAGCCATTTTATTTTAAATCAACTTCGAATGTTGAATGTACCAAATAATCTTCACAATTGTATAGAAGCGCAAATTACTGATAGCTTATCAAATATTATCGAAAGTTATGAGTCTAACATTACAAGTCAAAATAAAAAAGACATGTTATATAACTCACTTAGCTCAAATCATTCGGAAGATTCTAAAAACATTAAATCATTTTTAGAAAAACTTTGGAAACCGGTCCAAATCAATGAAGAAATTAAATTATCTTTAATACGTAAACTGACATCGTCTTGTTTAAAGGTTTTAAAAAATTTTGAAAAAGATATTCCGATAGAAGTATTTGAAAAGCTCAAAAATCTAATGTCTCCTGTTCAAGATCATTTTGAAAAAGAATATGGAATAAATTCTGATATAAGTAAAAAAAGCTCTAAAAAACGCCAAGAGGAACATTCTGACGATGTTGTTAACAAATTAAGAAAACTAGAAGAAAGACTTTTGTTAATGCCAGATTGTTTCGAGAAATCTGTTTTGAACTTAATTTATTTGATTCGCGTAGTAAATTTACCTGAAAACAATATTACCCATTTATTAAAGAAAAAAGAAGAACCAATAAACTTTGCCATTCACATAAACTCTTTGAGTGAGAGATGTTTAACTCAAGGACTCAATATCGAAATAAAAGAATTGGTAAGAAAAGCTGAAATTCAAATTAAAGAGCGCCATTTTAATTTAGCGCTCCAAAGTCTTGAATTATTGTTTAAACAAATTCAACCTTTGGACATTAGAGAAATAAGCCTATTATTAGAAAAAGCTAAAGAAACATATAATCTGATTAAAAATGAGGATATAATACTTTTATTAGGAAAGACGGGATCTGGTAAAACAGCCACTATTCATTTTTTATGCGGTTCAAAAATGGTTGAAAAAGATATTGAAATTAAACCTGGCAATTTTTTAAAAATTATTACTGCAGAAGAACCATTTCCTGATGCTTTATCCAAGTTTGTTATAAGCTATCGCGCTGAATCAGAAACTAGATACATAAGCCCAGTTCAAATCAATTTAAAAGATTTAGGTGCATACAAAGATACATTTTTAATATTATGTGACTCACCAGGTTTTGGTGATACTGCTGGTCCTGAAGTGGATATCGCTAATAGTGTTAGTATTGTTAAAGCAATCAAATGTTGCAAAAGCGTTCGACCAGTCATTTTAATGTCTTATGAAAACCAAGGGGGTCGAGGTGAAGGCATTCGTGAAATGGCACGAATGATTCAAGATATGGTAATAAATATTGAAGATCATTTATCTTCATTTTTTTATGTGTTTACTAAGTATCCGGATATTGACATCCACTCAAGCCTATTGAACATACACAAAAGCATTGATAAAAGTAAGTTTGAATCAAATGACGAAACATTTGAAGCCATTTTAGAAGATATGTTAATTAAAACTAAAGAGAATGGAAAATCTTTAAATCTTATTAATGATAAACCATATAATGTTTTAAAACAGATAACTAAAACACCTTGCATTAATAATCCTCAACGAGTTTTCAGGTACATAATTGCTGAAAGATCAAAAAGTACGTTGTTTATGCAAGCTGAATATAATAAGTCTGCGATTATATGTGCTGCAAAAACCAACAACTATAATCTAATAAAGTATAAAATAGATGAAATTTTATTTTTGTGTGAAACAATAGGGTTAAATGAAATCAAACAAACATTAAAGGAGTCTATTGATTATGTAACTAATCACATTCAGAAATGTTACGAGGATACAAAAGTACGATTTAACAGATACCTAGACAATCAAAGTAAACTCTCGAGCGAGGAGCTAGAATACTACGTTTCTCAAACTGAGAAATTAAAAGACCTTCATATTTTTAAAGATAATGAACAATTGGCAAGTGTAAGTCTATTAAGCGAAGCGTTGCTTCAAAACTTGCGTTTAAGATGCATGCAAGAAGCAGAAAAATTTAAAACATTGAACATATTTAATGACGACTATTCAAAAATATCTTTAAATAACATGAAATTAATTACTGACAAATGTGACAATAATGGATACGCTAATGCTTGTGAATTTGTAATCAACGAGGTATGCATTTACTGGTTCCTTTTTTAGTAATTTTTTTTTTAATTTGATTTAGATATTTTAAAACATTCATTAAAGTTCTGCTAAGTTATAAATATTATAAATTATGCTTAGTATAAAGAGTTAAACTTAAGTATTAAATTGCAAAGCTACTACCCAGTGGGCACGGAAGTAAAAAAGACGTCTTTTAAACGTTTAAAATACGTCCAAAACGTTCAAAAGACGTTCAGAAAACGTCTAAAACGTGTATAAGACGTTTAAAAGACGTCCTTTTTTACTTCCGTGCCCACTGGGTATTTACAAACCTATATTTTGTTATAAATGTACTTTTCTTTTTAAAGAGCCAGTAAAAGTTAAAAGTTTTACTTTTGTTTATACTTTTTAAATTTATGATTTAACTACTTGTTTGGTTTCTTCTTTTAATTCTCCAGATCAATTTTTTAAACCATTTTAGCAAAATTTGTATTTAAATCTGTGGCAAAAACGAAACTTTTAGGAAAAAATCTTTTATTGACTTTTTTTTAATTTTGAAATGGTTTGGAGAGTATTTGGTCAGTCTAAAAAAAATTTATTACATCTTACATTATTATTAACACACTTTTCCTATTCTTTTACTAATTCAACACAATTTCTGTTAATGTTAAACTCCACTGAGTATAACATAAATAACTTTGAAACAAAAAAAAAAAACAAAGAATAATCAGCTAAGAACAAGTTGGATAAGTATTTAGGATAACCTTGCTTTGCTATTTAGTAACTTGATATTCCGCATTGGCCAGGGTTCTTTAAGCTATTCTTTCTAACCGATAACTAGGAGATAGAAACCTTTAAAAACAAATTTAAACTATTTTATATTTTGAGATTTTTACCTAAAAAAAAGTTATTAAATAACAACTTTTTAATGTTAAACTCCACTGAGTATAACATAGATAAATTTTCAACAGAAAAATTAAAAAAGAATAATCAGCTAAGAACAAGTTGGATAAGTATTTAGGATAACCCTGCTTTGCTATTTAGTAACCTGATACTCCGTATGGGCCAGGGTTCTTTAAGCTACTCTTTCTCGCCGATAACTAGGAGATAGAAATCTTTAAAAACAAATTTAAACTATTTTATATTTTGAGATTTTTACCAAAAATAAAGTTAACAAATAACGACTTATTTAAAATAATTATAAATATATTTGTGTCTTTCACAACTTTTTGTACCGTATGTAGCCTTGCAGACTTGTCGTTTATTCTACCTGTACTATATTGAAACATTTTACAATGTGTTAAAAAACAATACTGAGTTACTTTCTTTACGTACGTATGGTTATGCATTCCAGGTCATTAAAGAAAGAATAATGTGTCATTTTATCCAAAGCTCTTTAAACCTTTGGGATATTAGATTATTAAATACATTTTTTATTTTAGCAAGGTATGATAACACTTTACCTTAAAAAAATTGTTCTTCATATATTTATAAGTAAAGAGAAAATCAACAACTTTACTGAACTAGTTTTCCAAAAAATTTATTTCGATTTTTGAAATAATTTCCCAGTCAATTTTTTTTTTAAAGACATTGATAAAAATTGAACATTGCGATATCGCATCTGTAATAAAATTTTTTAATATTTCATCTCTAAATGAGTCATTGCTATCAAACTGGTTTTTTCAGAACTCATCTGGTTACAAAATGAGGCACATGCAAATAATTCAAGGACGATGTTAATAAATTCAAGTTAAATATCAAATATATATCAATTTATTAAACAATATTAGTTTTAAAAATAAATCTACTTATGTTGAGTTTATATTTTTGACAACGTAAAACTCTAAGTAAAGTCACTTGTTTGTAACACCAGCAGATATTTTCTGTGTTTTGGATGATCCAACATTATCTCCTTCTTTACAGAATTTCTCAAAATTATATTTATAAGATCGTTAAGCGTATCTGAATAATATTCTATAGCCATAATTTATAGCTTTTATTTGAACAGCTTATCTTATCTTCTTCATAATATCTAACACCACAGAGTTTGGACAATCATACCTTACTATTAAGTTCATGGTGGTTTTATTTCTTACAGATGATCGATTTCTCCTCAATTTAATGAAGAGAACATTCGCAACTTTTTGATAGCAAACGAATCAGTTTTTTATTTTAAAAGAACTTTTTTAGTAATTTAAAACTGCTAAAAGTTGAAATTCTGATGAAAACGTTAAAAACGTTAAAAGTTAAAAATCTTCAAAATGTGTAAACATACATTATATATAAACAACCCATATGATTTTTTATGACATATAACAGTTAGGTATGACCGTTTTATCTTCTTGTGATAGTTTCAAAAACGAAAAACTAAACATTTGCTCTCTTTTCATTTTTCTTTAATAAACAGAAATTTTTTTTCAAACATATTATATAGAATAAATTACCTAATAAAGGATCCCTAACTTTAAAAAATTTACCTAATAAAGGATCCCATAGTGGCAAGACAAGTTGTGTTCATATTAAAGATAATGTTTCAGTGTGCGTGGTATAGACAATCAGTCCACTTTTGTTAATGCAATCTCATTGTTAATTATAATGCTCTGAATTAAAATCATTTATTACTCATCTACAGAATCATGCATAGAAGACATATTTGTTTTATAATAGTGTACATTTTAGTCAACAGTTTCAGAAATAACTTTTTAAATGGAAAAAAAATTGTTATTCCACATTTTAAATCTCATAAAAAATATCAATATTAATTGCGCATTAGGTTATTATTATTTGGGATAATTTATTCAAGTATTAACATAATGTTAAGACTTTTTGGTAAGACTTTTTGTATGTTTAAGCTGAGTTTTAAACTCAGAAAGAACTTTATCGAGTTGTTCTTTAATTAAGAACCATAAAAATGTTTTGAAAAGATATTATATTACCAGATATTCATCCTACTATGACAATACTTGAAGAACTGTTTAAGAATCGAAGTTCGCATAAATGTAATAGTCAAAAGCAGGCAATAACGACAACAGCTTGCAATACTGCAAGTATTGCAAATTGCAATACAGCATACTGCAAAATATAATAGTCAAAAAGTTCTAAATGCAAAAATTGCTTGCATGTTTTAAAGATGGAGACAAGCTTCGATCAAAAATTTAACTCTAATCTATTTCTCTTATCACGTTGTGGACTGTTAGATCCATCCAATTACTTTTCAGAATTTGTTTGTAGTGTATTTGCGATTTTAAATTTAATTGAGAATGAAATTATATTTCTATCAATTCCTAATATTAAACCATCAAAATAAATGTTATAAAATCTCACCAAATAGCAAATTTGTTTTTGAAAATCATAAAAATTAAGAAATTAAGTTTTCATAAAAGAATTTTTGTTAATGTTTCTTCTTTTTTTTAATAACAAACAAAACTTCTCAAAGGATTTGGTACCCAATATTAAATTAAAAATAATTTAAAAGTATTAAAGAAAAAAGTAAAATCAAAATTATTAATATATTGATTATAAAGCATTTGTTTATATAGTTTTATAAAATTTACCTATTGTTTTTTGCACTACTTTCTGACATTTTTTTATTAGCGTTAAAATATACATGAGTTTAGATATATATTATATATAAATATAATATAGATAGATAATAATGTATATTGATTTGTAATTTTCTTTGACAATTCTTCAACAATAATGACACAATTGTGTTTAAATCTTTGATATAAATTTTCTTATAAAAAAGCATATATTAAAAACCAACTGCCACTTTTACATTAAAAAACTATCAGCTAAAGATGAAGACTTGAGTTGGTTATTGAATAATACAATGTTTTGCGCAGCCAATTTTTTCCTTTAAAAAATTTGCCTCCATAGTCAAATATCGCCTAAAATAGAATAACACAATTATATTAAAAAAAACAATTTTTTTATAATACAGTTGTGTTTCATAATACTGTTGTTTTTGTAAAAAAAACAATTATGTGTTACAAAAGTTGCAGCTTTAATGCTATAAATGATAATAATTTACATAAGACTTTAATTTCATAATAAAAGTTATTTCCCTAAATAGAAAAACTTTGATTCCTTAATCAGAAAAGGTAATTTTTTTTAAAAAAAAACTCAGTAAAATCAACAAAAATTGATCAAAAATTATTTTTTTCTTTAGAGTAAAAATTTAAAAATTATTTTAAAACTTATTATAGAATTACTATTACCCTGACAAAATTTAAGTCTACAAACAAAAAATTGTATAAAAGTTTCAAATGTTATGACGTCCTCTTAATTTTTTTGAATAAAAATCGCTAAATAAAGTTTTAATTTTATGGATTATGGTTGTTACTAAGTATTTTTTAATTGCTCTCAAATTATTTTCACAACCCTTTAATTTTATTACTGATTAGGTAAGAAAAAATTTAATTTTCCAATCAAGGAAATTTGGACTATTTTGTTATATCACTGCAACAACATGCTTGTAGCAACTTATAAAATAAGTTTACTGATATTTTGCATTTTAAATTCTATCAATTTAAACACAAAAAAATGTATAACTTTTAGCGCCGTACAAAGCGCAACCAATATAGTGTGAACGTTTACGAAGCGCAACCAATATGGTGTGAGGGCAAAGTTATATCACTGACGCAAAAAAACTTTAAATCCATGGCGCAAATGCAATTTTTGAGGAATAACTTTAAAAATGTGCCAAAACGTAGAAAATAATGTGTTTTACTAAAAAAATCCAAAATATTGCCATAATTCATTTTTTTTCGAAAATAAATGTAAATGTAAAATAAAAATATATATATATATATATATATATATATATATATATATATATATATATATATATATATATATATATGAATATATATATATATATATATATATATATATATATATATATATATATATATATATATATATATGTATATATATGTATAATATATATATATCTATATATATATATATATATATATATATATATATATATATATATATATATATATATATATATATATATATATATA